GCTGATGAATCGGAGCACCCAGCGGAAGAAAAAGCCGATTTGGATGAGAACGAAAAGGGCCGCAACGATGACGCATACCCAGACCATCGTTCCCGCCCAAATATCTTCGACATCGGTCATGCCCACCATCTGTGCATACTGGTGCAGCCCATAGGTGCCATTGGTCACGTAAATGCCGTCTTGAATTGCTTGCCAGCCTGGGGACTTGCTCACGAAGCTCTCGTTGAACATCAGGGCGGACCAACCCACCTGGCTGACTACTGGTTGGTAAAATCCGGGATAGTTGAGAGTCAGCCCTCCGGTGAGAGCCACAAATTGAATGTATTGAAGGCAGTCGCCAAATCCCGGAGTCACCAAGCGCAACAGATCAGCATCTCGTCCGTAATTTGTCGTCCAGTGGAATATATCTGTCGAACCCCACGGGCTGAAAACCGAGGCGAACATGGTCGCAAATCCTACGAAGAGCAGAACAACAAGCGGCAGATAACGCAGAAGATCGCGTATATTTCCAAGATCCGGAGTTACAGTGGCGGAAGCACACGCGATATGTTTTGCAGAGTCGTCACCGTATATGACTTGCAATGTCGCGGCTAGGGATGTAAAGGCATATGACGAATCCATCTTTGTCGTGATGTTGACGGAGGGCAAGTTTCCGTACGGGTAGGTACTGAAGGATGTCAGTTGACTTGCGACAAAATTGCCCTGGTCAAAGGGGTGCTTACATAGCCGTGTCATTGAAGACAGGGGAAAGAGGACACGATCCATTGACTAGGCTGTAGTTGCAGAAACTAGAGACGTTGCTGAATGGCTCATAGGTCAAGAAATTGACCTTGCTGGCAAGAGTTGTGACTTTGTTCCCTTCCCTCGTGTAGTCGAGAATTTTGCCATCCGTGTGGGTAGAATCGTTCCAGAGCGGATCGCCTTTAGCAGGCAAATCCACCTTGTATAGAGAACCAGACACATTGCCCCATACGATAATTTGAAGAAGGTGATCTGGGTTTTCGGTGTCGAAGCGAGCGTCTACATATACGGGACTCCATTGCAGCGGCAAGGGGTTGAAGTTTCGATAGCTGTCGGGCAGGCAGTTGTCGAAAGGGATCAAAACTGCGGAGGCAGGCGTTATCAGGAGGCAGGCGAGAACGATGGTGAGCAGCGCGCCAAAGGAGTCCACGATAGATCTACGGGTTCGGGATGGCAGTGGCGATAGTCGGCGACCATGGCTTCTATCCATCATGAGCGAGTGTGATGAAGGATATTGGGATCCTTGAAGAGAAGAGCGAGGATTCTGCCTCGACAGCGAATGTAAAGACTTGACGGGTTGGAATGACGGCGAAGGGACGCGCTTTCCACGTCCAGGATGGACTATCACTGCATGTCTTGGAACGCTCTCAGGATGGGGTAGGTCTCGTGGAGGAGCAGATGGAGGCATTCGCATGTTTCGGACAGGCGTCCCGCCTGGCGTGTAGTCGAAAGCTGCTACAGAGGCAAGCGGGACGGTTGAAGCGGCGTGGGGTGAACGAAAGACGCACTGAGGCAAAGAAGAGAAAGACGGGAGTGGTGTGCTAAAATCCCGGCATCTTGGGGGCACTGCAGCGGTCGCCTCGTATCGTATTGTCGCCGTGGTTTCGTTCCTCGATTCGTCGGGCGCGATATCGTGATCTCGAGCTTGCTAGTCTTTTGTCAAATTGTTTTCCTTCCAGTATCCGTACGATTTGGCTGCTAGCCGATAATGTGTTTGTCGCGTGGTAGATTGGCCTGTGCTATGGAAGAATGAAAAATTCGAGGAGGGGAGAGGGAGGAATGTTGGCTGAGTGGGTGTGTCTCTGTCTGACTGAGCGGCGTGTGTGTGTGTGTGTGTGTGTGTGTGTGTGTGTGTGTGTGTGTGTGTGTGTGGTGGTGGTGGTGTCGGTGGTGTCGGCGGTGCAGGTGCAGGCAGGAAAGACGGGATGTTGTTGCGCGGGAGAGCAGCTCAATGGAAGGAAGAGTTGGAGTGAGCCAGGGGAGCAAGTACTTTGAAAGAGTACTCCGTAGCTTAGGTATGGGCATCAGGGATCCTTCTCTAGGTACCTTAGTTTCTCGTCCTTCTTCTGCGAAAAGTGACTTTGGAGAATGTATCTCGCAGACCCCCTGTCCATGCCCGTTCAAGCCCATGCCCCGTCAAGGTGAGCCTGTAAGGTGCGGATCGGTCGACCAGCTCAGCACAAGACAGTAGAATTAGCCCAGCTCTTGGTTCAATTATGGGGGACTTTGCGCCCGAGGTGGGATGCAGGTGAAAGAGCTGACCTGAGGTGCGACACGGAAATGATTCTACTGCAAGATGGATGTGGCTGAGCATTCTCACTTCATGTTCTTGGGTCTTGTGTCCGCACGTTTACTCGCCCTTGGTGCCCCTTGTCGCTCTGCCGCCCTCCCGTGCCACGGACAGCTCACACATTGTATGTAAGACGATGGATGGAATGATTCCAGTGGAGGTTCACTTCGCCTTCGGTTCTCGGTGCTGTCGGTCATTGAGAACTCATCAGTGCGCTGGTCAAGTGCTGGGAGCAGCCCAGTTGCCCAGCACCATCCGGGGCGAAGCCGCAGGAGACGTGAAGGGATAGGATGAGGAGGTTCGAATTTCGAAGTACATTTCCCAATGCATTCGTATGATTGGAGAGAAGGTACTTTCTCCGATGTACCTCTCCTTCCCTCACAGCATCTGCTTACTTCCATTGTAGGTAGTTTACCTTACAAGTACAAGTAGGTAGGTACCAGGGGGGGAAGTTTGCTGGGTGCCTGCTCACTGGGTTCCGTTCCCTTCTCAGGTTCCTGCCCTTCCACTCCCCATCAATCCATCCATCCGCATCATTCTTCCCCCCAAAAAGCCACAAATCCAAGGGGTCCCCGGGCGCATTCAAAGTTGCCGGTTGGCTGCCCGTTGGACACCCCCCAGCCAGACCATGGATGTGCAGTTCCCCACTCAGTAAGGCGCAGCCGAGCCCCGTCTGGCCCATCTCAACCCATTTCAATTCAGGTCAGGTCAGCCAAAAGTGGGAGCGACCTGAGAAAATTGGTTACCTTATTACGGAACACACACACTCTCTCGGTCTCTACTACGTAGGCTCTCGATATTCCGTACTTCTGTCTGCCCAGTACATGTCGAGACGAGCCCACCCGACCATTTGCTCAATTCGTCTCGTCGCCCAGCCGACTCACTAACAAGGCCCAGACATGGCTTGTCCGCTCTTTAGTCTTCGCTTCGCCGCTGTGAATACCCTGGACCCCTTCTTTTCTCTTCGGGCTACCAACACCTAAAGTGGACTCACGCAGGCACACTGTCCAACTACGAGCCATGCGAATACACCATCTACCTGTATCGCTCTCCAGCGCAAACCTCGCTCGAACCTAGGCTCGTCCAAAGCAGACAGACGACGGGGGCCGGTACATAAGGTAAGACAAGGGCGAGGGGCAGAAGGTTTCCCAATGGCAGTGCTTGTCTAGCGCCCGGCCTGAAACCCAAGACTGCCACCCTATGACGTGCCGATGGAATTCCGCAAAGCCAGGTCACCTCGATCCATTTCAACACCAACAGCTGGCGTGAGACCTTGTCTCTGACTTGGATGTGTCTAATGCCATCCGTCGCGCACTCAATGGAGCCGTCTTACATGGAAATAACACGCCAAACTCGATGCAATCTAGGTAGGTATTACTGGCATCATGGCATGTTAAGTAAGGCATCGTCTTCCGCCAATCACCAAAACCACTTCTGCTAACTATCAAGTGGCCCACCAGCATCACAACACACAGTGAGCTCATGCAGAGGCAGAGCAGGCAGAAGAGCAGGGCAGAGCAATACAAGGACAATGACACGCACAGTCCAAACACGCTTCAGGCCTGAGATGGCAGTTCAATCGCATCTGTGACTTGCATACGGGCATCTCCAGTCCCCGTGCTTGCAGCGTGCAGCATACGCAGAACACCAATTCGCCTTTCCCTCTTTTTTTGGGCGGCCTCTGTTGTAACTTCACTACATCGAGAATGGCAACTTTCTATGCGTATCCGTATGATGCTACAGTACCACCTTACGGCGACAGGCACACGGCACGCCTGGCCGACAAATTTCTGCCCTTATCCTCGTCTCCTTCCGGTTACCGACACACTGTTCGCCTTCGGGAAACAATTTGGACGGAGATGAGGAGAGTCGCGCATGGGCCAAGTTGCCAGGATCATCAACTAAACATGACTGTGGCAGGACAGAATTACGACTTCAGACGAAACCTAGACCACAGATCGATACAGTACCTGTCGAGTCCTCTTCGTCTGTGCAATGTGTTGCCAGGCACCCGGCTGGACTCTCCGTGCTACCTATCTAATGAGCATCAATACTAACATCATCGTCACAATTCGCCATGGAGGGAGATGCAAAACCAAGAAAGGCACCAGATCGAGATCCCAATGTGTCCGGCAAACTCAGTTCCCAAGGCACTGAGCAAATAGCCCACATGCATCGCAGAGGATCGTCCATCCCGCGGCACCGTGTGCGACGCTCCAATCCCAGCAGAAGACTTCTCCAGCATTCACGGCCAGGAATACCTGTCGATGTTGTTGCTGTTTGCACAGCAAGAAAACCTGCCAGCAGGGACCAGCATTTAATCAGGATTGACGGGTTCTCCATGTATAGCATCTGGCTGCTATACCCCCAATTGCACAACTCGACACTTCATTCGCACAACACTTCCTTGGCCACAGCCATCGTATCTGTACTGGTGCATGCTCTCAAAACATCATCAGCCGTCTTTTCAAAAAGAAAATCGCCTCGGATCGCATTGCAGTATGAGGTTTCAGACTCAATGCGCTGCCGATTCGGTCACTGTCTAAAGGCTAGAATGGTCACCTCGAAACTGGGAACAAGCCAACACCTCGATTATCTAGGCACATGGAACCTACCCGACTGACCTTGCCAACCTTGCCGTGCTTGCGTAAGTATCTCAAGCAAACGTACGTCAAACTTTGGCAGTGAAACATTGACTCTCTTCGTCAGAACCCGTCATCCGTCAACTGCGATAACTCGTCAGTCAACTAACCCAATCATACCGCCTTTCCCTCCACCACCCGCAGCGACAACAAATAGGAATCAGATTCCTTCGCGTCCCTAATACGAACTTCTGCACAAGCCAGGCTCCATATCTCTCGCTTACTTTTGCTGTAGCTATTTTCGGCAACGTTTGATTTTTTTGCTCCAGACAGCGACCTGGAGGCTCTTCTCCCGGTATGGTATGCATAATCTCGCACCGCTGATTTGAGTGTCATCACGCTGTCCGAACGACGTTCTTCAGCCCCACTTGCCCCCGTTATTGCCGCCATCCCGGACGACGAAATTGAGTCCAAGTCATGCCCGCCTGCTTCACGGTCTGTCGCGAATGAGAGGCTGACTATTGCCTCCTTCATCGACGGCACGAGTCTTACGAGCTTTATTCTCATTTGATGGCCGTCTACATGATGAAGTGCTAAGATGTTTACAGGTGGTCGTGGAAGACCTGTGTTGCCTGGGCCGGATCTCAGCCGTTATATGAGGGTGACTAGCAGTGTGCGGAATTCCCAGATACCCATACTTAACCTACCTTAGAGGAACATGGCTTCAGCTCATTCTCTTGGTTCTCAAGAGGCCGTGCCTCACTCCGCGTGCTTACCTTATCCCCCATCATATAGCTTCTTCTAGGAAATGGCCGGTCTTACCTTCCATCCTGTAGCCGTCTGCTATATCTCACCGCTTCGCAACCACCTAACACTGTTTCTATGCCAGTCCAGCCCCAACCTCGCGGGAACCTAATGTGAGACAGTAAAGACGCCAGGAAGCCGGACCCGGTGGGGCGCCATCACCGGGTTCGCCTCACATGCGCCGTTACGGGCAAGCCACAGGGCCAACCCGAGTCAAATGGGTAGACACTTGCTCTGTGTCACCTTGCGCCCGAACGGTGTGGTCAGGAAAGGGACCCGAAAAGTTGCTGCAGAAGAGCTTCAAACTACTGCGACCTATACACACCAGCGAAGGTGTGCTAGGATAGCAGGCACCGGCGCAGCAGGAATACGATGATGCCGTCTCTCTCAGTCCCCCCACCTGTTGCTGTGCTGCATCATGTAGTAGGTATCCTCCCAACCACTCAGGCTCTTCCCGGGTTTCCACAGTCTCCCGCTGTGAGGACGGGTTAGCCGGCTGGAAGGCACTCGTGTATTCAATGGGGAGTTTACCGCCATAGCAGCAGAATGGCAAACCCCCCTCCTCAAACCGCGGCGGCACAACGGAAACAACAATCATGGCATATGAACATGGTATCAAGACACACCGTCATGTCAGGCCAGCCGAGTCTCCATATTCAAGTCGGGAAACCAGCCTCAGTCCCACAAAGCTTTGATAGGAAAACCTGTACGGAGTATACACCAAGTTACGTGTATTCATCCAAGGGGCCGGGTTTTGTGGACTACCGTATCATCGTTGCCTTGTCGGATCGGCGGTGCCACCCCCATACACCCCTCCTGTTTTTTCCCAACCAGCCTTCCATTTTCCCCGCTGCTTTCGCAATAGAGTGACGTGCCCTTGGGACGGCATAGGTAACTGGAGTTGGCCAACTTCACTGCTTTCTGTCTGCCTTGAGTGGGAAAGTATTGCTATCCTGGTGTCCCTGGTGAGATGAACTACAATTCTGATGTTGCTAACGCTCGTTTTGATCCATAGACATATGACACCATGTTGTCAGGTAGCGGATCAAGTATATGTGTATACTTCCTTGCGAAGCCTCTCTTCCGTCGTTCAGTGTATCATGTCACCCCTATAAAGTGACGAAAGCTTGTGTCGTAGCATAATGACACATGCCTGTCTACTCTCGCAACCCCATATCTATCTAGGTCAGACTTTTCTACAGAAATCTAGAGCATACTCCCTGCATAAGCACTCGGCCACTGAGTTTGTGACGTTGTGGGAAGCTTGCCATATTTCATACACCTGTTTGGTGACGTTGAGTATCCATCGATGCCATAACTTCTGTTAATAGTGCCTCTGTTCTCGTTCGAAACAGTCGGCCACCGTCTCTCTGGACGGTCCTTGTCACCAGCCTGGAATGGAAGAAACGAATACTCTAAAGGTCGACACCTGCACGTGAGCTCTTCTCAGGGAAGAAATATGGTAGGAGCCCTTGGCAGTAAGATGTGGCCAAGCAAACCAGGAAGACGTGAGGCAGATATGCGTCCCACGAGTAAATATGTGATTTTCGCGGTCTATATGAAGCAAGTAAAAGCTCTGTATACACATAGTGATAACTTCTCTCATAGCAAAGCTGCCTTGTAACACAACCTACACCTGGCCCTCGAACGACATGACCTCTACCATCGAGTAAGATAGCTTGTCCCACTATTATCCTAAGTCTCCTCCATCACACAGTGCACCAATATCAATCTCAAGCTCCACCTCAACTCCGTGCCCCTCGTACACCCAGGCGCACACAATTTCTTGAAGCTTGTTGCTGATAATCTCCATTTCCTTCTTTCCCATGTGAAGCGCCACATCCTGGGTGCCTCTGGAGATATAAAGATCATAATCAGATGCTTTGGTGACCTGCTGCCGCAAATCTTGTAGATCAAGTGTGAGTGAGCGTATTTGGGTATAAGGCTCAGAGAAAAGCTTCTCAAATGGAAGCATCTCTGATCTCATCCTCTTGTGAATCTTGGTTCTCGACCTGGACCTAGATGCCAGCCTCTTCTTCAGATATCTTCGCGGAGACATGTCTGGCAGGGTAGTTGTAGGCCTCCGAGAGAATGATCTACCTCGTTCTTCCTCCGCATTCTCTATATACTCATTTTCATTTCTGTGGCGTAGAGCGTTCAATCTCTCCAACATCTGCTTCTCATTTGGCTCTGGGCTGGTTTGCCGATAGCGATGCTTTTGCTTCCTCGTCTCTTCGAAATCATCATTGTGGTTATCTCTTCTGGACTCGACTGAAGGAAAGCAATAATCCGACGTATCCTCCAGCTCCGGATGTTGTCTCTCTCTTCGTGTGTTAACGGCAAGCTTGCTTTGTCTCAGTCCGTCTGCCCTACGAGGCTCAATTCTCCGAGCGGCCTGGGTAGCCCTCGGCGCTGCCTGTCGTTCATGACGGTTTCCACCTTGTTCAATGCGGGCAGGTACCCGGAATGGCTTTCGCAATGGACTGGAAGACGAGGGAGGCGTGCCAAGCACACTACTGTCGTCAAGATTCGCAAAGGGATACGGCGTCTTGGCACAGATGCGTTGGCGAATACCTGGGCCTCTCTGCGGTATTATTTCCAGGTCTTCAATTTCGTGTGCAGCAGAAGATGCTTGGAATGCATCCTCATCTCTTGGAATTCTTCGCTGTTCTTGGTATCTTGGAACCTGAAAACTAGTTGGTGGGGCGGTTGGGTGTTGTAATATCGGTGGCTCAAAGGTATCTGGGTCGTAAATATCCTCCCTTGCTGCTGCAGGTACCCAATAGGGTAGAGATTTTTGCTGATGGGACAATCTTCGGTCTTCGATCTTCCGGCTGGTCACTTCATCGGCTTCCTGCATAATCTCAGCTATCCTGGGGACATGGGTTTGCTGGCGAGAAGTTGTGTCGCCCAGGTTGTTGTCACTATGCTCATCTGAGTGTCGATGGCCATGTATGTCTTCATGGCGAGTAGAATGTCGTGCTGCTGCCTTTCTGGCCAAAGACCACGGGTTTGGTTCCTCTCTTTGTATCTGCTCTTCCGTTTGTGACTGGATGAACTCATATATACCCGTGTTAGGTGGCCCTAGAAGGACCGGCTGCGTTTGGCCCTCAGGACTGGCAGTATCATCTCTAGCCATGTTCACTTCCCAAACGGTCCGAAGGAGAGATTGGGTGAGCACTGGCTCCTGAGTGTCTTCCTCGGGCTGTCGGGTGATTCGCGCTTGCCCTGAGTTTGAGAGGCACGACCTGTCTACGACAATACCGTAGTCAGCATCTCTTGAGTTGTGATTCACAGAAGCGGAATGAATCAGATCTTCCATCGCGTCAGGTGCACTTTCACGACCGTGTAAATGCTCTCTGTCGGAGGGTTCTGGCAGCTGCTGTCCACTTTCAGGAGAAACCAGGCCGGTCAGTACTCTTTCCTGACTCTCTCCGTTGACTGAGACCAATTCTTGCAAGATGTCGTAATCCTCTTCGTCGTCATCTGGAAGAAGATCCGGACTTTGGCGTCTAGCTCGCTCGTTCGCACCTTGGAGCCTTTCCGTGTCAACTTCAGCCGATATGTCGGGCTCGGTTGGTTGGTATATATCCTTGCACATGTCTTCGAACAGGGCCAGTAAATTTGGCTCGTTTGCAAAGATGACCTCGTCTTTGGCCGTGGTTACGTTGGGATCGTAGCTTCCGAGAATGCATTCAACATTCAAGCGTATGAAAGGCTTGGAAACGGGCTTTGAAGAACTGTCAAGAGCGACACAGCCGCGTATGTGGTGTTTGTAAATATCGACAAGCTTCTTCATCGTGCCTCTTGTGGTGGCCATAGGTCTCGAGTCAACGGAGACGAAGTAGCCTTTGCCAGACACCTTCAAGAGATCGGCATCGGCTCTCGGGAGGAAGGCCTCGAGTCTCATGATAGATGCTGGTGTGTCTGGTCTTCCCGGTCTCGTTGCCGAGATCGCAGGAGTGGTTCCACTGAACGTCTTCTAGACGCATTGCGAGACCAGTTCCGACCCAAGGACTTGGAGAACTGCCTCTCGGACGCCACTATCTTTGCTTGGAGCATATGACCATGAGAGTTTGTCATTTTTAGTGACTTTCAAGGAGAGCCTAATGTGAGGTCGAGTGAGTGCGTAGACCTGTAGAAGGTCCTTGATCTGCGCGTATGTTTTCTTGCTTTCCTTCAGAATTCGTTGCCTGCGAACCGGAATGTTGGCAAACAAGTCCGAGACGTCGACAGTCGTCCCGACGGAGCCCGAAACATGCTTCTTATTCGTAAAACCGCCGCCTCTGGGGTTGAGTACCAGCGAAACCGCCACTGGATCACTGCTCGTTCTCGTCGTGATGGTAAGCTTCGAGACGGCATTTACGCTCGCCAAGGCATCGCCGCGGAAACCAAGTGTCTGACCTCCCTTGCTTTGAAGTTCTTCGAAAGTCCGGAGCTTACTGGTATGGGAACGGCGTCCAAGAGCATGTAGTCTTCCGAGCTGATGCCGTGGCCGTTGTCTCTGACCTGAATCTTGTCTATTGCGTTTGCGGAGATCCTGATCTCGACATTATTTGCATTGGCGTCAATAGCATTGTCTACGAGTTCCTTGACAAGTGACACGGGAGATGGAATGACGACAGAGGAGCCAAGCTGACGAACAGTAGCCTGAGGTAGCTGAGATATTGACATCCTGCAGAATACAGGATTGAAAGGGATCGTCGCAAACGTGTAAGGCAAGAGCAGATGCCCCGAAAGGGAGAAGATATTATCAAATAACGAGGGACAATATTCACACGACGACGTGATGACAGCGGCAAGGAAGACGGTGAAGATGAGATGATGGTGTTACGGAGGGAAGAAGAATCCGTCGGATTTGGACTTGAGAGAAAGGCAAGAAGAGACTGGACGTACCCAGCAGCAAGCACAGGAAGGAGGTGTGTAAGTCGTCCCTTCCCGTCCAAGACGACAACGTCTTGTTTGCCAGCTGGTCCCAGTCGACAGTTCCAACAAGATCAATCCGCCCACGCCAAAGCTAAGGTAAAGTGCTGTTTCCTGCAGCCAATTCCCAGGGCGCCGAGCCCCGCAGCTCCCCTCGCAGGTGCAAGGCACGCAAGCACCTCAAACCGCTCTGCCCCGCATCGCAAGGTCCTCGTTCCTGGGAGCCCGCCCGCCCGCCTTGCTACCAGTGCCACTAGCATCCCGTAATACAAACACAAGTCATGCTAAGCGATTCCTAAGCCAAAACCCGCACCTTACGTAGCTCTTCCCAGCTCCCAAGAAGCATTGCTGTCCATCCCACCACTTGCCATCTTCAAACCACCCCGCCAAAACTATCTAACAGAGCTGCCCACCTGTCGCGACCACGAACACAAACGTCTTGATACCCCTCCTCTTCCCAAACCATCACCACCACCCACTCATCTCAAAATGTCCGACATCAAGGGACCTACCCCGCAACAGCACGACGGCAGCGCCCTGCGCATCGGTATTGTCCACGCCCGCTGGAACTCGTCCATCATCGAACCCCTCGTCAAGGGCGCCAAGGAGAAGCTCCTCGCCTGCGGCGTGAAGGAGTCCAGCATCGTCGTCCAGTCCGTCCCGGGAGCTTGGGAGCTCCCCATCTCCGTCCAGAGGTGAGTCAACAGTAAAGCGGCCGTACAAGCAAGACTGGCCGCCCTTCGCTTCGGAACTTCCGCTTTCGCAATCCAGTCCAGAAGTTACCCTTGTCTGACAATGACAACGCCCAAACCCACAGACTCTACCAAGCCTCCCAAGTCCAATCCGCACAATCCGGCACCGGCACCTCCGCCGGCGACCTCCTAGGCGCCTCCACCACGGACCTGACCTCCCTCCCCACCGAGACCGCCAGCGGCCAGCCTTTTGACGCCATCATCGCTGTCGGCGTCCTCATCAAGGGCGAGACGATGCACTTTGAGTACATTGCCGACGCCGTCTCCCAAGGCCTCATGCGCGTCGGCCTCGACATGGGCGTTCCCGTCATCTTTGGCGTCCTGACCGTCCTCAGCGACGAGCAGGCCCAGGCCCGCGCCGGGCTCACGGCCGGCGGTCACAACCACGGCGAGGACTGGGGCCTGGCTGCCGTCGAGCTCGGCGTCAAGCGCAAGGCGTGGGCCGCGGGCAAGATGGAGTAAAGATGGAGGGGAAAGGATGAGGACCCCCCTCCCCCGTTTGACACAACTGTACCTTCGAGTTGAAATGGATTGGCAGGGGAAACTCTTTATGTTTTAGACGTTTACCGGGAAAAAAAAAAGTAAAAGAATCCCAAAAAGGGAGAACAGAAGAGAAAGGAGACAAATCATACCAAGGGTCTGTCGTGGATAGAGACCGACCCGTTGAAATTTACTTGCCATTTGGAAACACATCACCATCTACTAGGACTTGGGGCCAATGATCAAGCAAACAAATTTGATGCTCCCGAGTAAGGTAGGTTGAACAACAAACATAGCGCAAGTGAGGTCATGGCAAAAAAGGGCTCATCTTCAAGTTTTTTTTCTCCAACATTAGTTGATTATGGCACCAAGAGCTGTCTATCATGACTTTGTAAACAATAACCAAGTCCTTTCATCTTGCTCTTTCACTCCCGCAGCGACGCCCGGCAAACAGATTTCTCCCAGAATGTACACTTGATGAGGGTGCGCCGAATAAATACCCTACACCAAACCCTAGATCAAAAAGAGAACCCAAACACGCCGTAAATGAGTTGCGTGATGTGTCTGTGTTCCTTTTTTGGTAATATGTCCAGTCTTTTTTTTTTGTCGTGTTCCGATATCCCATCTCTTCTCTCATCCCCCTTTTTTCCATGTGGCATCGTCATTTTGTGTACCCTCATGAGATTAGTGCTCCAATTTCACTGCCGATGCTCTTCTTCGTCCTCCACAGTCCCCTCTTCTTCTCCTTCTTGGCCTTCATCGCGGCCCAGCCTTCCTCATCGTCATCGTCTGAGTTGCTGTTGGATTTGTCGGGCAACTTGTTCTCCTGCTGCTGAACGACCTTGGGAGGCTGGTCCCATCCCATGGCTCCCGACATGACTGACATGCGACGGCCAGAGTCCAATTGGGGCGCTTGCGTTACGGGTCTGTAACGGCCTGGTAAGCCGACGTTGCTGCGTTCCGAGGGTGCGATCGAGGGAGCATACCCGGCACCTTGGGCGTGAATACTGGGTGCGTACCCACCACCACCCATGCCTCCGTGAATGGATGGAGCAAACCCTCCTCCAGGAGGTTGAATCCATGAAGAGGAGCTAGGCTGCACCATGCTCATCGTTCTCGTTCGGGGATCGAGTCGGGGGGGCTCCAGCATGGAATCTCCGAAGTAGGATTGGCGCTGACTGTCGTGGACCGAGGGTGTTCCAACATGGCTCATCGGTCTTTGCATGCCATTCATTCCGTTCATGGCGTTCATGTTTTGGCCACCCGGAGTCGCCATCATCTGCATGAACTGCATCTGCATCTGCATAAACTGCTGCATCTGCTGGGTCATTTGAATCTGTGCCTGGTCTCCTGGTGTAAGCATCATCTGGGGCATTTGAGGCATCTGAGGCATTCCGGGCATTCCGGGCATTCCCTGCATCTGCTGCATTTGTTGCATTTGCTGCATCTGTTGCATCTGTTGCATCTGCGGCATGCCTCCCATACCACCCATTCCGCCGTTCATTCCATTCATGTTGCTGTATACCATGGAGGCCGGAACTCCGTTGCCAGGGCCAACCGGTGCGCCCGTGAAGGGATCGACGTTAGCCTCAACGTTGGGGCTACCTCTGCGCATAGCCCGGGCTCGTTCTTCGCCGGCAATGACACCGACAAGGCCGCCCACGACGGCTGGCTGCTGTGCACCGGGTGCGGGAGAGCCTCCACCAAATGTAAGAGACTCGCGTGGAGGTCCATTGATGAGACCAGCACCCAAGAACGGGTCTTGCGGGAGCTTCCTCGCAAAGGCGGGAAGGTGACCACCGCTTGTTCCTCTCGGCCCTGTTCCCTCGCCCATGCTTGACCCCGGTCTCGCAGGCTGGGGCTGGTTCTGAGTGGATGCACGCAAATCAGGGTTCGAAGCCATGTTCAGGAGTCGAGCAGGCGGCTTGTTCTTGTTTGGAAATCCGTGTGCAGCCAAAATAGCAAGCGGCACTTCTTCGTCCTCCTCTCCTTCGGACCCTTCTGACCTGCCTGTAAGTGGACCCGCGGGGACGGTCAGGTTTCCGAGGTTGGGGGTGCTGAGCGACACCGATAGGTTTGGTCGGGTGGCATGGCCGGAAGGGCCGGCCATTGGGTTCTCGCCCGTCACCTTCATCATCTGCTGTCGGTAGACGGCCATGTGAGCCTCCTGCTTCTTCCTTTGCTTGGCTGCCAGCTTCGCCTTTTCAATGTCATCCTCGTCGTCATCATACTGATCCTCATCGTCATCGCGGTTGTCGTCGGATGCCTTGACCGTTTCGCTCGTGTTGTCATCGCGTTCCTTGTCTCGACGGTACTTCTCGAACTCGGCGGGAGTCATAACTTTGTTTCGGGGCGGGCTGTGATTGTTGTTGGATGTGTAGCGTTGCGAGTTCGCGGGTGGCTTCGGCGGTTGTGCTCTGCTGTTATCGAACATGTTCTCCTCCTCCTTCTTGCTGTCCGTTGCATCCCACGCTGTCGAGAATGCATCTTCATTTCTGCGGAATCTCCCGGGTGGAGACGGGTTGCTAGGCTGACCGGAATTGCCAAGAAATCGACTAGCTGCCACCGAATCCTTCAGCAAGTTCGCATCTTCGTCTTCAATGATGTCGGATGGCACATTGTTGCGGAAGGCTAGTGGTGAGCCGTGCCGGGGCACTGGTGGTGGTGCAGTGGCCGGGGGAGAGTTGGAGCCGGAGTGCAGCAGATTATCATTAGAGTGTTGGCTGCTCCATGAATAAGGCGAGGCCTCGACTTTGATGGACTTGTCGATCTTGATGGGCGACGGCTGAGGTTGGTTGACTCGGTTGGTTGTGAGGGAACGAGGTCCCATGTTGGACTTGTCGTTGCCGGGAAGCGTCATTTGGCTAGCTCTTTTGTCGAAACCGGACCCTTTGAACATGTTACCAAAATTACTGCCAAAGTCGAGGGCAAAGTCCTCCTCGCTGAGCTTGGGGGGCGTGGCGGTTCTGTCGGTAGAGTCTGTCAAACCTCTCGGTCTGCGGGTATTATGGTCGTCCTCCAGCGACGCCTGGGGAGGCAAGGGCGGAGGAGGTAAAGGATGATCGTCGACGGGAACTTGATTCTTCTTTTGACCGCCAAAGGAAAAGGTTCTGCCGGCTTTGCTAAGGAACCCACCAGAGCTGTGCTTGGGAGCTGGGACTTCGGTCTGTGATTTTCTAATCGAGGGTTTCCATTCTTCCTGAGCCCCTTGGTGGCCGAGGTCAGCCGAAGACGGTGTGGTTGAGACGTTGCTGTGGCGCGAAGAAGTATCTGTCGAGGTTGTTTTGGTGGTATTAGATGACCCACTTCCCCTTAAGCTGAGTCAGTCGACGTTAGACACAATCCTTGCCATGGCCCTGAAATGAATTGCAGACAGGGGAGGGAAATCGAGACAGCAAGAAAAAAAAAAGACCACTAGCAGGGCAACAATCCGCCGCTGAGTCCGAGACATGCCGCTGTGGAATGCATGCCAACCCTCTTTTTTCTGCTTGCTTCCCAGGTCTCGCTTTCTTGCTTTCTCGATCCCACATCCTCCTGCCCTTCAGGGCCAAGAATGTGTACTGAAATGGAAATGTGATTCAAGGAAAATGGACGGGTGCACACATACCGGTTGTTCTTCACATCTGCAAACATGTTGTTGTCCTCTAGAGACAAGTCCGAGTATTGCTTGGGAGGAATTGCCATCGTGGTTGCCTTGAGAAGCCTGTGACCACCATCAAATGACTTTTGTCCTGCTCCAATTCCAACTTCGGTCCTTTCTAAAACACGGAAGGAGGTCGGCCTTTCCTTGGTCGTTGTCTCTACCGGCTCATCATGGAACTCTTCCGAGTTGACGGTCGATCGCCGCCTGCCGAAAGAGACGGAGAATCTAGGCATATGGATGAACCGCTCTTCGTATTTCCCGGCGGGACAGAAACGTTGCGCGTTTACACGCCGAGTAGTTCGAGAAGCGGGCTTCGTAAAGATAAATCCTTTGGGGCTGGCTGTCCTTCGCCTTGGGCTGGGGCCGCAGCGCAGAAAAAAAAAAGCGATACGAGGCGGGTCAGCCGATGTGGGATGACGACAGATAGCTGAGATTCGGGAGGGCTTTGTTTGTGGCTCGCGTCAGTACTCGGTGCGGAGTGTGACGCCAAAGTGCGGTAAGCAAGGCGATACTGCGTAGCGGAAAGAATCCAGAATGTCAGCTGCAACTGCGATCCGTCGTCGGTTGACTTGTGCGCGTGTGTGAGGTACCGCAAGAGTGTCTCCAATATGCGACTGAGCTAGGTATGTGGCCACTCGTGGGGACCGATATGACGGGAAGATGGGGAATGAGGGTATTGCGGAAATGGTAGCCGCCAGCAGCCTTAGCGATGGACCTGGGCTCTCAACAACAATGCAATGCTTCTCCCGCCCTCGCGCGCCGTGATGTCGCGAATCCGAAGGGGGAGCGCAGCTATGTATAGGCCTGGGCCGGTGGGCTGAGGAATGAGGGAGGACGAAAGGAATGGCTTGATGATGGCTTACCCAAGGGGTCTGTCCAACAAGACAGAATGAGACGGCGAACAGTCGAGAAGGCGACGAGACGAGTATTAGTCTATAGAGCGTATGCGAGGGCGTGAAACCAGAAGCCGTATGATCTCATTCAAACTTTTTTTATCCAAACGCAGAGAGATGCAAAAAAGCTGGACCCGGGCTGTACAAGGCCAGAGACGATGGAGATGATGGACAAGCGGGCGGGCTAGGGGGGGGGTTCGCCGATGCGATGCGATGGGGAGGATAGAAACTGGGGTATTAGGATATGAAGAACGAATGAATAAACAGGAACAAAGTCAAGTCGTGAGATGGATGGGCACGACACGAAATGATATGCAGCAAATGATGGCAGCAGCAGCGAGGGTCGGCGAAGCAGACAACGAGAGGTTGGAGACTTGGAGCGAACGGTGGGCGGGTGGGAATGTGGAAAGGAGGAGGCGATCCGATCAGTAAGGAATTAGGCAAGGCAGAGGGAGTGAGAGAGAGCGAGAGAAGAGCCAAAAAGGCACGGCTAAGTCTAACGCAGGCCAGCCAAGTGTGAGGGTCCCGGTCGACCAAACAGGGGCATGTCAGAAAGAACGTGAGCAGGGCCAGTCCAGGTCTCCAGGAGAGAAAATATGAAAGGTCGATGCTCTCCTCTGCTCTGCTTCGCTTTGCTCCTTCTCCTCACTTCTGCATCCGTGTCCCGCGTCCCGCGTCCTGCGTCCTTGGTGGGCCAGTCGTTCAGTTCCTGCTGATGGTCTGCTCTGGAACTCTGGTCTGCTTTCTCTCTCGCATCGACGCACTTCCCTGGTTCCAACAC